CTTCGAGGAATATCCAAATTAATTTACCAGTAACTGTTTTCATATCAGTTTTTCCAAGCTTACTTATTTTTCTGAAGCCACCACGTTTGACCTTGATTGTTCCATGCTATTTCACAAAATAGTAGGATCAATATAAGCCCAGTTATAAAAATTAGTTCCCACATTTCCTTAAATAGATCGAGACGCGCCGTGATTGGTTGTTTTTTATTGTTAACCCAGATTAACAATAAAAACAAACAACCAGTTACCGCGCGTCTCGATCTATTTTATAAAACGTGGGAACTAATTTTTATAACACGGACTTATTTATTTATCGTACTACACACACCGGAAAAGTCTAGGGATATTACAATTTTATCCAGCCATCGTCAGTAATTTTATTATATGCATTTCTGATATAATAAAACTAAAATAAACAAATAGTTTACTGGACGTATTGGAAATAAAAATGCGAAATTTACCGAATTTTTCAAATTTACCTTGATTTTTATTGAACTCAAAAAAAAACACATATTTTTTTTTATTCTAAACTGTGAATTAAAAAAAAAAAGATAAAACCATTTTTACTTAATAAAGGGTATGGCCTCCTCTACTGTTCATTACAGCCCTACATCGTCTCTCCATGCTCCTGATCAGGTTGTCGATCTCTTCTTGAAGTACAGCCTGCCACGCTGCATTCACGGCCCGAACCAGATCCCTACGAGTTTCACGAGGCATACCCATTCTCAAAATTCTTTTTTGGACCGCGTCCCATACGTGCTCGATGGGGTTGAGGTCAGGGGATTGTGCCGGCCAGGGTAAGATGTTTAATTGATGAGCATTGATAAACTCACTTACCACTCTGGCTGTATGAGGCCGTGCATTGTCATGCATGAGAATGAAGTTTCTCCCAAAATCATTGGTATATGGTAACACGACAGGCTCAAGAGTTAAATCACGATATGTGATTCCTGTTAGAAACCTTTCAAGAAAAACGAGATCGGTTTTTCGGCCTAACTGGACTGCTCCCCAGACCTTAACTGTTCCACCTTGATAAGGGTGCACTTCCTGAACATGATCCAACCGAATAAGATTTGCCGGTTCTCTCCATATCCTAAGCCTTCTCGAATCCGGATGAATTCCAAAGCGTGACTCATCCGTGCAGAGAACATTGGCCCATTGTTCATTCGACCACCGAACATGATCTTGAGCCCACAAATACCGTACCTCTCGATTTTCTCTCGTTAAGAGTTGAGCTCTCCAGGGGCGTCTGCTTCTTAAGTTGACCTCTCTTAATCTATTGCGAACAGTATCAGGACTAACGGTTACATTATGTGTTTCCTGGAGAATTAAACTAAGCTTTGGTGCTGTAAAAGTCGGTCGGCGTCGATCATTTAATTGTAAAAAATGATCTTGCTGAGGGGTAGTAATGCGATGTCGCCCTGTGTGCCTTTCAGCAACATCACCACTTTTACGGTAGCGTGCACTTAATCGCGATATTACACTTTGCGTTGTATTTAATGCTCTAGCTACGTCGATTCGGCGCATTCCAGCTTCGAGCATACCTATGGCCCTTACCATTTCGTCTTTGTTAAGATGTCTACGCTCCATAATGTGGTTTAATACTAAACAGAGTTATTTGAATAAATTCTGGCCAGTTATCATAAAAACATAGCCAGTACAGGTTAAATTCGAACAATTGATGCTACGTGCTTTTTATACATTTGACAAAAAATGCACAAACACTTCTGCAAATATCCCAAATTTAGAAATAACTAATGTGACTACTTCGTTTCAATCGAAGTAGAAAGAATCGGCCTACAAATATGTGGTTGTTTATTCAAAACATTTATTTTTAACTTTAATAAAATGATATCCCTAGATTTTTCCGGTGTGTGTATTTCCAGAAATGTTTTGCGAAATGTTGGACGAAACATTTCCAGAAATATTTCCCAAAACATTTCGGAGATAGTCTAGAGGCTGTTTTAGAATTGATTATTTTAGACATTTTTTCTAATTATACGGTTCTTTCGGCCCACTTCAGGGCCGGATTAAGTCATAAAACAAGTTTTAGCCGGTCCCGAAATCCTAAATCTTTGTTGTAATAAATTCGGGCGGTGCCGCGTCGGCGTCGCTGGAAACTTTCTTAACTATAAAGCCCTCAAATTATTCAGAGACGTGCCCGATATATTTTCGCAAAGTTTTAACTGCACTGATTATGGCAAAGTAAAGTTTATTTTGACTTTGGCGTAGGAGGGAATACATTAAAACGTGAACGATAAACTTGTATACTTGTTAAAACGTGAAATTCTTATTTGTCACGTAGCGCCATTTTACTTAGGGTGATATTTTCGTAATAATTATAATTATAATCTACTAGTTGAAGCCTGGCGCATCCGCCAAGACATCAGGAATAAAAAATACTTTTTATTTTTTGTTTAATTAAATGAAAAACAAAAAAAAACGGTGACGACAATTTTTAGAAGAGCCAATTAGCTATCTTTTAGTAAAAAAGCAACTTTCTAGAGCAAGTCGTTACTTCAGTAGAGACGACACAGATACAGTACGTCTGTCCGTTCTGTAGCTAAGGGGTATCCGTGAGAGGGGAAACGATATTCTCTCGATGTTTTTCGTAAAAAAATAGACGACGCGTCCCATCAATAAAAATTCAGCAAATTTGCAAGTAGCCAATAAAATAAGTGGGCTGATTTGCGGTGACGCACTCGTCAAATCGACGTATAAAATATATTGCTGTTTATTTAAATGTTTTTTTGTCCGCATTCCTTTTATAGACACAGATCCACCAGATGTACTGTAAACATTAGCATTTTATATAATATGTAGATATACTAATATATAAAATCCATAAGTGACTCAACCGCTCAAAACATTAAACGTAAGAAGCTCAATTTTGGCATACAGGTTGATTCTAGGGTGTACAGATTCGACATGAAGGGATTTTTCGAAATTCCAGTTCCAAGGGGGTGAAACCACCCCTCAAATGTTTCAATATTTTTTATTTAAAAAACAAAATATACATATTATATTGTGCATCCGATTCACGTAAAATATATAGGGTGTTCCATTTAAATTAAACAAGTTTTTGCAGTTTAAAGCTAGTAATTATTTAATATAAATTTTTGGACACTCTGTATAAGGTAGTAAAATTTTTATTATTGCAACACAATATCTGATCAATAAATAATCTTCAGTAAATATTTAGTACTAAAAACTTTGATACCCTGGGAGAAATAAAGCATTAAAATTTTTACTACAATTTCATAAAATTGAAAATATTTCAAAAACGGTAAGGTTCAAGTGTGATAAACCTTAATCAAATTTACCTTTATTTCAATCGTAGAATCCAAAAATAGAATAATATACAGGGTGTTCCATTTAAAAAAAATACAACTATAATATTTTTTACTTATTTGGGACACTCTGTATCTTGTAAAAATATTTTTAAATTGTAGCTCTAATAGACCTTCAACGAACTCAAAACTTACAATTTGTAAAAATCTAATCGTTTAGCTACAATACTCCGTGTCGTATGTGGTGAACAACCCTGTATAATAATATCGCCATATTGTTTTTTCTTCTGCTGACATAAATGTGAGAAAATTTTATCCAGTTTGTATGTTAATGGAAATTCTTGCTTTAATGATTAAAGTCACGTGCTAGTTTTATATACAAATATGATGGGGTAGGGCCCCGAAACCGGTAGTGAGAGCAGGTTGATCCACATTATGTCGAACACAGCGTGGAATTAATTTCTATATTAGCAGTTCAAGACAAGAAACTCTTATATAATTTTATTATATGTATACCTAAAAACTACAAGAAATTTATTTTTCATTTATATATAAAATTATATGGGGAATCCCATTTATCGTCTTTTGATCATACGATAACCTTATATTTAATTTATTTTCAAAGTTTTACAGGAATTACCTCGGGAATTACTAAACTGTAAAATCGTAATTTTTGGGGCTTACTCAACCGGGTCTCACAATGCAAATTCACCTCAAATATCCATTTAGTTGGTCATTGGCAAGCACTCTCTCATTGTACATGAAAATAACAAAACAAACATTTACTGATCTGGATAAAATTGATAGTTAAATAGTAAGATCACCCGGGGGTACTCCGCCCCCTAGCCACTGACATTCTATTCAATATAGCCCATTCCATATCTTCCATCTAATTCAAATATTATTCGGATCTATTGGTTAATAATCTTCAACAACTAGCTAGTGTCACCTGAAATATTATAGGGGCTTCCCCCGGACTCAAATCTGCCGCTAAACAGATTCGCATCCCAATCGATGGGGCTAATTGGGGTCCTCACACAACGCCCCAGCGGTGTCCATCGAGAAGCAAGAGAGACCTCAAACTCTCAAGACCATCCTCGAAGGAACGACGTCACAAGAGGTTTACTACTTCCATAGTCAAAAGACTCGCTACTTCCAAATGTCAGCTCTGTGACAAAACACAACACTACACAGCCGGCCGGCCTATCAACAACTGACTGACCTGCCGCCTGCCGAGCTAAGCCTTCTCCAAGGATATATAGAAGAAGGATATTCAACTCTCTATAGCGGGCTATGTTGGAAAATATGCCTTATTTTGTCGAGGAAGACGATTTCGTCACGACCAATGAGCGTCGAGTATTTGAAATTGAAAACATATAAATTGACGGTAACCTATGTTTTTTGACTCATTTCTCTGACAGATGTGATGAGATTATTATTGTAATTTATAGATCCAAACGTTTTTTGAAAAAATAATGTATTTTAAAGTTATTTCCTAGAGTTTGGTTTGGCCTTCTATATTCTGGTATTTTTTGTATCTGAAGCCGCAAAGAAATTTCGCTCTATAGTGAGAAAAATGTTATTATATCTTTTTAGACGTGTAGAATTACAAAATTTCTTATTTCAGATGTTCTAAATGTGAGTGCATGTCAAAAATTTAAATATATACTTGAAATATTTCATGTTATATGCTTTGACATTTTTGGAAGTAAACAAATATTGAAAAGTGTTGTGCCTTCACAGAATTTAAATTGGCATTAGGAATAGATTTCCTTGATTTAGTAATGATATTGCTCATAGAAATTGATAATGTGAAGAATAACAATACATGAACATAGAATAACAAGAAAGAAATTCTAGCAGCAAGTTAGGTTATGAGATAAATTTTATTTATATAGTTTGTTTAAAGAGTTTAGTTTGAAAAAAAGGTAAAACAATTATTATTGTCCAGATCATATTTGATAACTGTTGTTAATTGATAACATATTACAGGGACACAGTAAAAAGACAAAACATTTAGACCCTTTGAAATAGAAATGTTTGCAATGGATATTAATAAATTCTAGCCAATTTGTACGATGTACAATGCAGGCAATATTTCTGCCTCCTAACGCACTATTCGCGTAAAAGAAGATGTGGGTATTGTATTTACAGGTAGTTAATGATACATGGAATATATTTCTATATTATTGCAATAACGATGTCTTTATGTTGTATTTTTTTAGAACAGATTTATTATTAGTTGGCTAGTGTGTTAGTAGGATAGCCATTGGTAGTTATAAAGTATGAAGTCGTCAGGTATTAATAATAGGAATTGATCAAAGCTTATACATTTATTGTGATATTTATATTGTGAATTTAAGTAGTTAGTTTTGGTTGTTTAATAAACGAATTAATATGCTTATTGTGTATCTTATTAAAAGAACAATGAAAAGTTGAATACCATAGAGGTACGTATGTTATACAAAGAATTTGCATCAACATTTTTTTGGTTATATACTTGTACTGATATTTGTTTCTTGAACTAAAGAATTATACAGTACCTACTACACAATATATAATCTGCAGCTACATAGGTAGGTAGCTATTGGTAATTAAATTTTTTATCTAATATAATATCTAACATCAGAAATATTGTTAATTATCAACTATAAACAACTAAGAACTAGAATTATCAACTATAAACACAATATAATATACTGTATCTTAAGCAATATGTAATTATTTAACAATTATTTTTTTTGGGAAATAAAAACTGGTACTAAATTCTTTTTGACTATTTAATTTCTAAGTCACAAATAATGGTGGACAAATAGCAAGAAAATTATACAAGTAAAACATAATTTTAACTTATTTCTCTAATGGAATTTTGGTATTGATCTACTTAGTAGGATATGCAGTTATCAATCATATTTTTGAATATTTATATTCAATATTGTTCAGGAACAGCCCAATTACTCTGAAAAAAAAATATATGGTCAAATTCTTTGAAAAGAAACTTTTAAAATCAGTAATGATAAAAAAATATATAATTGAACCAGGGGACACAGAATTAGGGGAATTAACAATAGATTATTAAAAATTGCCTTCTCTTAAAAAAGTAGTATTATATGCACTTAGAAAGACTATAAAGGATATAAGTACGCATAGAAAAAAAGTAAGTATCTATACTACTGATATACACATCGGGACAGGTCGACTCTGTGTATAGGATTTTAACGTGTAAGACAGTGATGTAGGCAGCTTAATGGCAAATCAAATGTATTAAAAAGAGAAAAAAGTTGGGTGGGTATGGGTGGGAACATTTCTTCTGAGCGGTATTGCCAGATTTTGCATCAAAATTTCAAACCGCATAAGTAGACGTTTCAAAAATGTGGCATCTAGGGTTGGATCTGGATTTTCAACAATTAGTTACTCATTTTACTACAACTGTAATAGATTACATTTAGCTTAAATATATTATCTTCATTTCAGTATACATGAACATTTTTAACATAGTTTATTTTATTCTAATTTCTTTAAGACTACGATAATATACTGGTCGGCAAGAGAAAATCTTGGGTCGTTTATTTTAGTCATCATTTACCTACATGTCTAGAAGTGAATCGCTATGGCAATCTTGTAAGTCGGGGAGAGAAAATTATTACCTATCCACTTAATCCGGAGCTCAACTTCATACGCTTGGGAAAATTCTTGCTCTTTTTCTCTTTGTTCATTTATACAATCACAGAGTCTATAGACTCTGTGCACGACAATCGGCACCCAAAGCCGTGTACATTATCGGTTATATCATTAAATAAACTAACCAAAAAATATGCTGTATTACGTAGTAAATAGTGCAAATTCTATTGTCGACCATTCTAATCAGTATTAAATAATAATGGAGTGAGCCAGTGTGAAGTGAGACATTAAATGATTGATCTTTTTGTTAAATTACGTGGTATAACTATATATATTCATATATATAACTATATATGAATACGATATCTACAGTATACAATATTACTAGTATAAAAATAACAGCACAGTCGGCACACTTTAAAATAAAAAAGCAGCATAATATTCAGGTATGTATATAAGTAAAATTTTCTCAAATATATTAGACTATGAAATAAATTGCAACTAAATTTTAATTAATAAACATAAACAAATAAAATTGTCAGTGTTATTAAAACTTTATGTAAATATATGTTACCTTAATACTTTGTCTTTAATCCTACTCTTCTGACATGGCTTTTCAAACTTATGCCCAAATCTCAATTCTTGTTATTAAGAATAATATTTATGAACTTTTGTTTCCATATTAATTTCAATATATTTGAATAAAACTGGAAAAATAATCAATATTGGCACTTGAAATTTTAACTTCTTATGTCCTTAAATTATTTATATTGTGTTATACATAATACTTACATAAATATTCAATTTAAAAATAGATCAGCACTTGAACGAGTGAATATAAAATAGTATATTATCAATTTCTATGAGCAATATTATTACTAAATCAAGGAAATCTATTCCTAATGCCAATTTAAATTCTGTGAAGGCACAACACTTTCTTCAATATTTGTTTACTTCCAAAGGGCAAAGGGTATAACTTGAAATATTTCAAGTATATATTTTAATTTTTGACATTAAGCACTCACATTTAGAACATCGAAATAAGAAATTTTGTAATTCTACACGTCTAAAAAGATATAATAACATTTTTCTCACTACAGAGCGAAATTTCTTTGCGGCTTCAGATACAAAACTTGCGAATTTCCATACATCGAAATACAAAATAAGATATTATTTATTAGTAGACAAATACCAGAATATAGAAGGCCAAACCAAACCTCTAGGAAATAACTTTAAAATAAATTATTTATTCAAAAAACGTTTGGATTTTGGATCTATAAATTACAATAACAATCGTCATCACATTTGTCAGTGAAATGAGTCAAAAAACATAGGTTACCGTCAATTTATATGTTTTCAATTTCAAATACTCGACGCGCATTGGTCGTGACGAAATCGACTTCCTCGACAAAATACGGCACGTTTTTTTTGGGCCAGTCGAATATCCTTATTCTATATATCCTTGACCTCCTCTTACATCACAATTTTACCTGATCACAAATATTTACATCGCTTGCCAATGAATCATACTGTTTTCTCTAACCGACTTTCAAATAGAGTGTTTTAGCATTACCAAATAAATAAACAGAGAGTTTCCGAAGGAATGCATATTGTTTATTAGAATAGTGAATAAATAAAAGCATTACTATGACGAACTTATTTTCCAAGTTTTACAAAACTGACTTTATTTAGATAATTAATTAGAAAAAATAACAAATAGAAAGCTATAAAATTATGCAAAATAGCATTTGAGATATATTCTACGGCCCATAAAGACAGTGCGAGTGTACAAACTTTACGCTTTCGGGAACTTTAGTGGGGATTAAAAGCGCTGACCTAGAAAAAAACTATTAAAGGAGACAACGTCATGAATAAAAACCCGGGCAAAATCCCATAAATCAATTTGCCAGTAGGCTATGAAAGAGGTCCGGGCGGCAAATGGAAGAAAAATTAGCTTTTCAGTAGTTCTATTATATCAGGCTTTTTTTCTATGAGATTTCTTTAATAGATAGAATTTTAGGACAAACAAGCGTGGAGAAGCCTTTAAGTTTTCTATGTTATTTACTTCTTTTAAACTTTATAAAAAAAATTTCGCACTGTTTTAGGCAAATTAAGTATTTCAGAAACAATGAAATTGAAGACACTAACCATAAGCTGGATTTACATTCACACACTTTCGATGTATATCCGGATTACAGTTGAGGGTTGGAACCTTTGGTGTTACACAGCAAAATAAAATAACACCAAATCACCACAATACACCAAAACACTTTTACTTTTACACTGGACGCGCGTTTCGCTAACCATGTTAGCGAAACAAGAGCTCAGTTTATTAAACAAAGGTTTAAAGTTTGCATTGCCCAACTCTGGTAGCGCTTTGGAGGAAATCGTCGTTGGTGTTGAAACTGTTATTCAGCACTTGCCCGAGGCTTTACAAGAGAGGCTTATAGAAATCAGTTATCAAAAAATATCGTTTCAAGTAAATCATTAAAATCTAACAAGGAGCACAATATTGTCAAGGGTTTGCGTAACAAAGATTGTTTCTACCTAAAAGCTGATAAGGGAAATAAGGTTGTTATATTAGATAAAAAAGACTATTATGATAAGGTTAACAACTTAATCGATAATGGCCCCTACATAAATTTGAAAAAGAATCCCTTGTCTAAGATGGTAGCAGACGTTAAAAAAACTCTAAAAGAATGTAACACCCTTATTGATCTTTCTTTAAAGAGGAAATTGCAAGTATCCAATCCCTCATTACCAAAATTGTATGCTTTGCCAAAAATTCATAAGCCGGACAAGTCTATGCGCCCAATTGTTTCGGCTGTAGGTTCTCCGACTTATAATTTGGCAAAATGGTTATCAAGGGAGTTCGAAAATTTACCTGATCATGAACCTTCTTTCTCAGTTAAAAATAATATTGAATTCATTAACAAAATTAAAGATATAACATTGCATGAAGGTGAATTTTGGTCTCCTTTGATGTATCTTCGTTGTTCCCAAGTGCTCCAATTCCACATACTTTAGGCTATTTGAAGGAATTACTGAACGCAAATGGTCTCGACAACAAAACTGTGATTGAATATATTGAGCTTACATCGTTATGTATGAAACAAAACTGTTTTCAATTTAATAACAACTTTTTTGAACAGCGGGAAGGTACAGCAATGGGTAATCCATTGTCTCCATTTTTGGCTAATTTATTCATGAGCAGGTTTGAAGTGGAAGCTAAGAATCAGTTTAAGTATTTTCCAAGAGTATGGGTTAGGTATGTGGATGATATTTTTGTTGTTTTTGACACACATTGAGACACCATAGATAATTTTATTTCTAAGTTAAATAATCGTTTTCCTTCCATTAAATTTACGCATGAAATTGAGAACAACGACAGATTACCATTTCTAGATGTATTAGTTATTAGAAATACTAATAATTGCGTGGAATTTGATATCTATAGGAAAAATACCACACGCTGATATATTCCTAATGAATCACATCATAGTGTTGAACATAAAATGGCTAGTTTAAATTTCTTAGTTCATAGATTACTTAGTTTCCCACTTTCCAACGAAAGAAATGAAATAGAAAGAGATTACATTAGGAATGTAGCTGAGTGTAATGGATATTCTCCTTCACTAGTTGATAAATTAATTAGAAAACGTAGGTATAGCTTAATGATTTCCTGAAAATTCGACTTTTCAAGTGGAGGAAGATACGTCTAAATATTTTTCGATACCGTTTGATAGAGAGTTATCCTGTGGTCTAAAAGT